TCGCCAGGTCGCCGATAAGATCCGCAGCTCTTCTGCGGAAGGGATTCCATAGCGCATGCTTGACACTCGGTGAACACCGTGGATTATTCCGTTCCGAAGAATTGGCAAATACTCCCAACTTGATGATATCGGAGCTGTTGGAGAATGCCACATGGGTAATGGTAGACATCGGCGAAGGCTTGGGATCGGACAGCTCGATGCCGTCAGCTCGATGCCGACAGCTCGATACCGACAACTCGATGCCGACAGCTCGATGCCGACAACTCGATGCCGACAGCTCGATGCCGACAGCTCGATGCCGACAGCTCGATGCCGACAGCTCGATGCCGACAGCTCGATGCCGACAGCTCGATGCCGACAGCTCGATGCCGACAGCTCGATGCTGGACGAATTCTCCCAGATCCGAATTCGAGCCTGTGATCTGGGTATGACCTTGGAGAAACTCGCTCAGCAAATTGTGAATCTGGCGATTCGGATGCCAGCTACTAAAGACTCGAGCCGTCATTCAGCAGGAAAAGCTTGGGATGAATTCGTTGGCTTCAGCATCACAATTCTTATGTCAGTGACTTCAGTCGATCCTGCTGGTGTTAATTTTCCTCAGGAAGATTGCCCACGATTAGAATGCCTACATACACACCCAAATGTCAAGCGAGGCAGCGATGGCTGATTGAGATCTATCTGTTGAGTGCGTCACCACAGCTGATTGAGAGATGACAGCTGACTGAGTTTATTCTTGGCGGAGTGTTCAGCCATGATAGTAACATTTTCTGTCAGTTTTCTTCACAGTCAGAGAGATGCACTGGGTCTTGAGCGGCGCTCTACACAGAAATGGGCAATGCATGGATGACATGGCTGAGTAGGATTTAAAACTGCATGGGAGGCGAGACTTCTCTGGCTTCGGTGCCAGATCTCGAGCCCCCATCAGCTGCTGAAGGGCTCTAACTTTGTTGTTCTGGGGCAGGGTGCTATCCCGATCTTTTTAGAAGTTGTGTTGCACTTCGCGTACCGGATTGTGGCAGACTAGGAAAACTTCCTCGAGTTGCCGTCCTTTTCGATCGAGAGCAATCTGAGCTTTCATTGTTCGATCGAGAGTCGTGAGCAAGATTTCTGTTCGTCTCTCCTGGAAAATGGCTTCCTCCTCCAATGCCATAATATCGCAAAGGGGAGACCGAAGCTGATTCTCGGGGGTCATGTTCATATCGGGGAGAAGAAGAGCAAGGACAAATCAGCTCGCTTCCGGGGTTGCCAGCAAGTAGGTTCTTGCAAGGCACGCTTGCATACGTCTGTCGCCACAGATGACGTCTTGCCGATGATCGGTGTCCATAGTGATGGACCGTATCCGGGGGCCATAGAAGTATTGAGGAGGCGACGCAGTCTGAAACGAGAGAGAACGACTCAGATGATACTGGAAACCTCCTCGGCGATTTCGGTGGAATTCCGTCCATGGGAGAACCCACTCCTGGTCTGACAAATTCGAATTGGGGACTCCCAAACTCTTGTCAGAGGATCGCGAGCTCAAGTTATCAAGACGCTTAGGAAGTTTCTTCCGAAATGCGGAGCACAGCGGCTTCCCATTGGCTTGGATATCTCCACATCGTTATGTGAATGAGGGAAACAGCGAATCCTCCTGTTCGGGAGAGAGTCTGCTCCCGAATGTATCAGCTTCGTTTGCAAGACCTACTAACAGACGGTAAATTCAGCTTGTTCCCACATCTCTTCTATCAGGCAGTAGTCATCCTCGCCGAGCGAAAAGGCTTCGTCCTCCCAGTATGCTGCGCGCTGATCCCGACAAGGACAGAAGAAGCTCACCGGCGCATGGTCGGGCTACTTCGGAGCGCCTTCCCTAATTCGAACCCTCCGACAGTTTCCATGGATTTCGAAAACGGGTTTATCAACGCTTTCTCCGACGGCTCTTCGACCGCCTATATCACACTGATAGCGATTTCGCGCTGTCTGTGCGAAGATTCCCCGGGCTCGCTCTCGTGCCTCCCGACGCACTCGACAATATCATAGCCGACATTGCAGTTTTCTTGCCTGTGCAGTCGATGCCAGTTCCGAAGTACTTCGAACGTAAGTTCACTCCTCCATATTGTGTCGGACGGAAGCGTGATTCGACAAGATGCAGTGTTTCCAGTCGGTATTTGGTCTGCGAACGAGCGCTTCCTGAACAATGATTCGAGAACGAAGAATTACGCAGAAGCAGCTCATCGGAGACTACAAACGGAGTTCGGAGTCGACCACCCATTCCTGTGAAGACTTATCGACGGGCCAAAAAAAATCAGCATCATCTATACCTGCTCCACGCATGCTTCATCAGCGGTCACGAGCCATCTGCGGAACGATCGTAGAACATACGAGCAGATGAACGTTTGCTCGAGATAGTGAGCAACTTCAATGTTCAGACTTCCGTTGAGTTTCTGCGAGGTGTTTGTAATAACTTCATCATGGATGCTTAGTGATCCACACATGGAGTCATCAGGTGCCTCACACGCGACGGTCAAAGTTGAGCAGGCTACGAAAATTCCTCGTGAAATCGAGGGTCATCTGAGCGCTTGAATGACCTTCGATGAGAGCTCACTCAATGTACCAATGTTCCAAACTGATGGTCCGTCCTATGTATATCTAATCTACTCTATTTACAGCGAAGCATGCTCCTCGGCGCGGGAGGGGACTGTCCTGGAGAAGCCGACTCCCGGCATTCTTGTAATTCAGTCGCCTGACGACTATCCGCTACCCGATTCGCCTACGACGCCGACGTAGGGAAGACTGGAGAAAGAAGCTCCGTAAGGCTTTATATTCGGCGCGAGCCAATCCTTCCGGCGTCGAGTTGTCCGGCATCGAGTTATCCCGGCATCGAGTCATCATGTACCACTACGAGGCGAGGCCGCGTCAGCTTGTCCTAATCAGAAATGTTCTAACGGCTCCGAGAGCTTCGTAAGATCATGATTACCCACTGGAAATCACCCAGAATGCCCAATGACAGTTCTTTTTTTCCTCATTTTTCGCGGGCTCGAGAATATCTGATTGTGGAGCCCCAAGGTTTGAGGAAGACACGGGAGAGAGTTGGAGTAAGGCGGATTTCTCCTAATCGAAGCGCTCGATTTCTGTTCATCACGCGTATCCTTCGTATCCCTGGTACGACGCTTCTGGAGCCTCGGATATTCTGCCTGAGCGGCGGAGACATCACAGATAAATATACACGAGCCTTCTGAGAGAATTCCGGCGGAAAAGTGAATGTACTGCACTCGGCGCTCTCCCGTCAATGGCGTGACCGCCAAACACTAGGTGTCCGCGATGGAAATCCAGAAAAGAACAGTTTTCAAGTCTTTTGGTGGTTTTCCGCGAAAATCGCTTTCTCCTTCGAAACCATGCCATCACGAGCTTTCTCTTGCCAGTTTCCGGGCTGTATTCAAGTGTGCAGGCTGAAATCGACTGCAATTCCATTCGAAGTCATTGCGGGGTTCCGGAAGCACTCGATGACGAAAGCGAAACCGATGGGAGATTCTGAAAACACATCGGTGTGAAAAGTTCCCGATTTCTCCACCCGAGAATACGCTCCCCGTTCTGATGGTTATCAAGTTCAAGACCATATTCTTCATGCATATTCGGAAACCGCAGCGCCTCGAGAGCCCTTGAGCCCGCCTCGAGCTCTTCGTGGACCCGATTGCTCCCGCCGTCGAGCGATTTTCGGGAGCGTTCAGATCCCACGGAAAAACTTAGCAAGAAGATACTTCGGAGTCATTGCCTCCAGTAGTGGCATATTGAGTACCGATCCGCGCGGCGCATTTCGAAGCCGCAAATTGCTTGACTTAAGAGTCGACCCTGTTTCTCACCCGCATTCTGGAAAATCGCTGTGCCGGAGGTCCAGAGACAGCATTCCGATTGATTGTGCCAGCGGCTTCTGAACCTCCCAAAGATTTCACAATCGTGGCCATCATTCGGAAAGCATATCTCACCAGCATATGCTGGTATATCGCATAAACACGGTTTTGAGGATTCTGTCTCCCTCAGACAACAGTGTACGATCAGTGTGTCTGCAAGGCTGAAAGGTCACAACATTCCTTTTTGACAACGCATATCTCGCCGAATGGGCAGATTTACACTGGGCGAATGGGCTGACCGGGATCCGCGCGTATCTCCGCGACAATCGCCTGGCACGAATTCTTCCTCATGAAACACGGGAGTGTACCCGAAGACGGTGACAGAGCCCACAATCTCGACGACGTTACCGATCTGCCGAGGAGAGCAAACGTGTACGCTCAACTTCGGTTTCAATCCACCGATGGATCTTTCGCAAGCCATCATCTGCATATCCTGAGGATTTCGACGGGAGAATCAGCATGATGCATAGATCAAGAGATACATAGATTCTGGACGAGAGCTCCGGGTAAAAATCATCGTCCGCGTGGAACGATACATTCCGGGGCTTCGAGCTTCCCAACGGGAATTCAGTACTGGCTGAGTAGTCAGGGAAGCTCGAGCTTCGAACTCAGATCGAACCATTGATCCTCGACATATTAACTCATGGGCCTGTGACTTGTCTCTATGCAAGAAGTTCGATTGGCGAGCATTGGAAGGATACAACAGCACAGGGCCCCCTTCACGTCTCGCAGACAGTCAACCTGCGTAAAACTACTCGCGATTCGAGTGTCAGTTTCTCTCCGCAGGTTTGACGTGTATGCTGTTTCAGGTCTTCTTCAGTCTAGCAGGTCTGTTCCCCCGGGTTCCTGGAGGAGTGAATGTCGTGTCGATGAGGAAAGAGATTCCTTACCATCGTCGCGGACGTAGGAATTTTGCGTAAGAACGTGGGACCGGACGGAACAGAAGATTCGCGGTAAGAAAATAGGCTTTATTTGGTAATTATTCCACTACACAAACCCCGAAGACGTGCAAACATGTCAGTCCATGGTACGAGAATTACTTGTGTGGGTTCATCCATTTACACTTTTTACATATGGAGCGGCTCGGTTTTTGAATGATCAGCATCAAAAAACTTGTGCTTAGCCCTTCCATCCATGTCCTCCACTGATCTTGGTGATGATGTATGACTTGCCACCTCCTCCCTTCGACCATCCGCCACCTCCGCCGGACCAGCCGCCGTGGCCGCCACCACCACCTCCGAGAGATTTGATGATGTAGGTCTTGCCGAAGCTTCCACCACCTCCTCCAGACCATCCACCGCCACCTCCTCCAGACCATCCACCGCCACCTCCGCTGGACCATCCACCGCCACCACCTCCACCGGACCAGCCTCCGTGGCCACCTCCTCCGCCGAGGGACTTTACAATGTAGGTCTTACCGCCGCCACCTCCTCCAGACCATCCCCCGCCGCCTCCGCCCGACCATCCACCTCCACCGCAGTAGGCGGCTCCGATGCTTAAGGCTAATACGAGCTGTAAGGAATAAACCTGGTTAAGTGAAATCCGACCGAATCGAGAACGATCACAAGCGACGACACAAGAACGAATTCTGTATGAAGTGAGCGTATCCTTTGATCGTTGAAGCCACACCAGAGGACTCACCAGAGTCTTCATGTTCGGTAAGCTTCTGCTTGCCACCCTAGCTTTGCCCCAAACCTTTTATAGCTGGTGGCGAGAGGCTCGGCGCCAGTTCAAACCGTCGCCGTTCGCCCCTCCTTCACGGATCCCTCACGAGAAACGACTCCGGGGTCAGAACATTTGTTGATCTTCTTCTGGGCTGCTGAAGCTTCTGCTGTTATCCTTTCCTCCGAAATTGGAAGCCCAACACATCGACAGAGACGGTGACCACAACAACAATGTTCAAGTTGATTTGTCTGGTCATCGGTGCTAACATCGAATCGTCGACAAGGACGATCACCCGAAACCTAATTTGCCGTCATATCCTGCTCGGCCAATGCCGAGGAAGAAGCAGACAAAAGCGATGATTCGCTCGGGCGATAACACCGAACCCTGTTCCGTCGGACGACACCGAAGATCGACGCTTTTCTCGTACACATGTGAATCAGATCGGAAGATTCCCACATTGTTCACATTTGAAGCACCGATCGTTGAGCAGGAACGAAGGAAATTATTTCAAATGAACTTTATGTTTGCTGAACGCTCCGGACGCGTGACTACTGACAGGGACAACAACTCCGCTGACCCCGAGACAGAAGATGCATCACCACGAAAGACTTGTGGTCATTAATTTCTGATTGTACAGCTCCATTGGCAAACTAGGATTACTGACACTGACTCAAGGTCACCTCCATGAAGAAGATTTTCTTGGAGATGTCCGGAGAAGATATCTCAGACGACTTTCTGGGCGCTAAAAATAGATTACCCACTCTATTTCCAGCTGAGCCGGCACCAAAATCCCTTAATCACAATGGGACCCAATTACCATGCGAACTAGCTCTCGGGTCAAGACTGCGCTGGCGGATTTGAAGAAGAGCTCCGTTCACTGTGGGTCATCTTCATAGTCGGGGAGACCGCTCAGAGGGCGCGTTCCTCGGTTTCTTCATCCGACGAGTCGATATCTATGTGGCTGTCAGATACGCATGTCGAAACAATGGGTAGGTCCAACTTTCGAATTTATCAGAAAGCGCTTCTGGCGACGCCATGGGAACAGATATAGGCATTCGTTGCACCTGTCACTTCGCTATCTTTGATGGAACGCCGCCGTCATTCGGGGATCGCGAGTCGCGACCGGCCGCCTGTCGCTTGTTTCTTGAGCTCTTGATCGGATCGATGATTTTCTCGCTTCTTCTCACCTACCTAGTTCAAACCATATGTATCACGATCGAACTACGAGCGAGAATGTTTGTCTTCTGACGTCGCCGATGAAAAACATCTTGACCGCGTTCGGCCCAGCGCGAGGCTAAAAGGGCAGCTCGAGGTCACTATCAGATTCGCGATGAGGGTACCGTTCCGATAATCCAGAATATATTCCTAGCCTGAATCCACCGTCTCATCGGGAACGTGCGTTTTTTTCGCAATCTTATAGACTTTCAATTTTAAGACTCATCTTGACATCGCAACCGAATGCTGTCGCGTCCGGCACGCGGCGAACAGACCCGATGTGTGAATCCCATGGACGATGGCGATACGCCCAGCACGTGAAATTGCGGCCTAAGCGCGCGAATCCTATTTTCATGCCAGAGAACTTTCATCGCCCGACTTTTGTCGCTGATCCTCTCCCACCGATGGATATATTCCGTCCGTCACTGGTGACTCGTCGCTCACCAATCCACCGATCGAGATGACGCTCTACCGACCGAACGCCGACCTCACGCCGGTCACTGCCGGTCAGTGATTCTTCGGCAGCATAGAGGGCGGTCCAGGCTTGAAAACATAAACTTTTCCGTAAGCGTATCTAGGGTCAGAAGAATGAAAATGCAGCGGACGATTTAATGCGTTCTCGCTTTTGTTCGGAGGCCATCCGTTATAGCGTCCTTCCACGACCGTCTGCGTCGCTCCGTGATGATCTTCTAGCAGGAGTGTTTCCAGAAATAAACAGGCATAGCTCCGGGCATGCCGAGCCGCGACCGCTGCACTTTAGGTTCCGAGAGGTGATCCAGTGGCCTCGAGACGGCGATGATTGCTAGATAAACAATAACTGTAGTCTCCTGGGTCGGATTCCAAGACTGGTCATGTTCTGTCATGGAAGCATATATGTAAATGATGTCATCCCATTGTCCAAATGTTGTGTCATCGCTGTTCCGCCTCTCGGGTGGCCGTTATCGGGAGACGAGAAGCTCTTCGACTCGATCACTCTGCGGAGACGCGACTTCTGTTCGGCGATGGGTGCGAACCCGGCGAATCGTGAACGTATCATAACCGTAAAGCGCACATGGGTGAATTTTGGAATGTTTCTCTTTTTTCTGCGAGGGAAAAAAACAAGCTTCTGCATGGAAGAGGCACTGAGCTTGAAAAATATCATTCATTTATCAGTCTCTGGTTCGTGAAGGTCGCGATGTTTTCCGTGTTGAGACTTTTGTTCTTCTTCATGGAGACCCAACCGACCGTCGTACGAATGAAAAATCCTATCACGGACTGGAACGACCCGAACCAGCCAAACCACGATCAATTCCAATAACGCTTGTCAGAAAATCAACTTTTAGTTCAATTGGCCTTCGGTGCCTTAACAATTTGATATAGCCGGGCTCGAAGATGTGTGGCTGTGCCTTCGACTGCATGCACATCAAGCAAACTAATTATCAGCACTGGGTCGAGTCCTAGCCTTAAGTGTCAAGTGCCAGTAACTGCGGCGGCCTTGACAGTCAACAACAACTGGGTCAGACGGCAGAAAATTCATCGTGTTTTCTGACGACGCGCCCATAATAGCGGGACGGTCCGTTGAATACTTTCGAAGAATGAAACAAAAACAAAGATCGACATCGACGATCATTGCCGACATCAATAACCCGCTCGATGTTATCAACAGAATCGCTCACTCATTCACGGTTTTGAGTCACGCTCCGTTCTATTCTGGATCGACTGTGTCGATGCCCGTCGACACAATTGGATCAGGTCGGGGAAATCACAAAATGAACCTCGCCGAGCCAAGCGATTCGAATCGATTCAGGGTCTAAGCTCTTTGTACGCCAGGTTCACACCAGACAGACGCCACCAGAGCGCTGGACAGCGAATGTCGCTCATCAAGGAAGCCTGATGGTCGTCCTGGAAGGACGGTACAGAAGAGTTTGAGCATTGATGATAATTCATTCAATTCTCTCTCTCCCTCTCATGCAGGGCTCGTGATCACGACGACGAACGCTCAAATCGCGGCCATGTTCCATGTTTCACTTTTTCTGTAGTCGTAGTCGATAAATCCGATGGAGTGCAGGGATTGGGTCGTTCGTAAGGGAAACGCTTCGAGTGGATCTTCCTCCGAGAAGCTTTTTCCTCCACCAGGGAGGAAGAAGCGAGGAAGGATCTCGCGATTTCGGCATTCTCTGGGGTTGTAAAATTAAATTTCCCGCATCCGAAGGCCCTCGATTGTGGGTGCGATGGCTTTTGATGCAAACTCCTTGGATTCGTCACGGATGAGTTTGCCTGTCACCGATGTCTTCTAAGGGCGAGGTTCCGGCTCCAGGGTCTGCGAATCTCAATCAAGCGAGATCCGACTTCGGATGGACCTTCCCTTGTTCCGCAGCCAAAATTTCAGTCACGCGAAGATTGTTCATCGATGTCATCCGTACAGATCGGATGAGATACGAAAACCACAGAAGTTCGTTTCACACCTTAAAAAGCGAGTTGTGAAACTCGAAGGTCAATAAGGGGGCATGAAGCAATGTACGACCGGATCGGCTGGGCATTCGTCTGTCCGATGGCTGGTCTTGCCCCTCCCCATTGTCATTTTAAAACGAAGATACTTCTGGCCGTCCCCGCCCACTACCGTGGAAAGCCAAAGGAGACGGTGGCGGCGACCGACGTCGACGACAATGGGCGATCTTGGAGCAAGCGTCACCGGATTATAAAGTTGGGCTTCATCTGTACTGAAAGTATTTTCGCAACGATTGCCATGAGGTCGCCAGCAGATCGACAAATCTCTGGGCAGCGTCTCCGATGATTCCGTTGATGGGCCCTCTGTGCTTGTCGTTGTTCCTTTCGCTATCAAGGAGGAACATTACACAACGGAACAACTAGATGCAGATCATAGTCGGACGATTCAATCTGAAGTCTGTCATCTTCAGGGACCATTCATGCATGAACGTAAGCGGCCACTGGAAACATCTGATACCCGCCGGATCTTCTCGCCTGGAACTCCGTACGGGATCAGGGGATCAGAGGATACAATCCCACGACTTGGGTCACGGGCCGTGACTCAAGCATAGGACCGAGGCTTCCGCTCGCTTTCCGTATTCTGAGGGAGAGATTAAATTTTTCCGCCTTATGGATTCCCCGGAGAGAGTTTATTCGCGACTCGAATCAGAGCCGTTCAAAACTTTCCGCGGATAGGGGAATCATTACAAGGAGCGATATAATTCCCAGGGTCTTTTGGGACTCTCCCTCGCAGCTCATCGTCACCGTCTGCCCACGAAACCCTGGAGAAAGGCAGCGTTCTGTGCTGGAGCAATCGGATAGCCAGCGACCAGACCGGGCCGAGGCAACTGATAAATGGTGTTTCCTACTTGCACCCGACCATTCCCTAGATTGATGACCTGACCACTGCCGGTCGAGTTTCCTGAGGATGAAAAAGAGACTTCAAGATTCCCCAATAATAGGCAGTCTCGTAATGTGGCAAATGTGCAAATGTGGCAGTCTCGATGTGGTTTCCTTTCGACGGGAGACAAAAGTAAATCGCTGTATGTTTGAAGCTCACCTGCTGATGTTGTGTTGGTGAAGGCTGTTGTTGCTTGAGTGGCTGACGGGAGGTAGCAGAAATCAGTGTTTATCCGGCTTCCTAGAGCCAGATGTCCCTCGTACATCGGTGCCCATGCATGTGCTCCCGCTAAAGCCTCGCATGGGAAAATATTTTTGGCAAATCTGGCAGTCTACTTACTTTGACCATCTGGAAATAACAATGAAAAACTTGGTAATCGATGTCCCGGAAAAAGCTCAGAGTTCCTTGCTTTGTAGCACTTCGAGCTCCGAGCGAAAATGTCTCAGCCGACTGCATCGGATACTAAGTCAATAATGAATGTCCGTAGTTGACAGTGCAAAGGTTTGGTCACTACACTCACCGTTGATGACGAAAACTGAAGCCAGGGCGAAACAAAGGATCAGGACCTTCATGTTCCCTTCCTGAAAAACAGACGGTACACGCAAATCTTCGCGTGAACCTTGTCCGACGAATCCGATTTTCATGGGATCGAGGTTATCGGATATGATGGGGATCTTTGCTTAATTCGTCGCTCGGGGTCGTACTCTCGAATAAGCATCGAGAATGCTTCCTCACGTCCTCGACTTCGGAGATGCTGAGGTCTGGCGAGAGTCGTCCTGACCGACATCAAGGGATTGTGGGAAGTCTCCCCTCAACTAGTTTTGATATGAACAAGATAAGGAATTCGCGCGATATCCTGCGTGGGGAGAAGTCTCGAGCGAAATGATACCCCCTCTCCCACGGTTCCTGGGAGCGATCACATCCTACTGGCACGAGCACTGAACACCGTCAAAGGGCACAGCTCCTCTTTTTGAATTTCTAATGGATTCTGTAATCGCGACGGAAACTCGAGATGCGCATGAGGCCATTGCTCGGGTTGTAGCTCGCCTACGGAGATGGCACAGAGCTCTGTCGTCAACTTTGGAATCCTACGAAACTCTGCTCACGTCGACACAAACGCAGGTAGATGACGATTGATCGGCTGGTGACAAAGTACCAACTTCCAAGAGCGCGAGTCCCATTAAATAAGCGGGAGTCTACCACGTGAACATCTGGTGAGCTGCTCCAAGGTCGACTCTCGGAGCGTCAAACAATACATACGTCAACCACTCCTCATCTATCCTGAAAAAATACCGGGACTTTATGAGTGACATTCGAGCATCCCTTTGTCAGGGACAGCAGCTCTTATCGAAGACCACTGCTTCACATACACGTCACATTAGTATTTATCTCTCGATGCCCTTCGGTATAACTGAGCAGACACGAAATATCCGCCACTTTGTTCCTGGTCCTGCTATCAGCCATACAAGTGTCGTGTCAATCACTCACGAATACACCTCAACGGTCGCTCAGGTCATGAATATTTGGTCCGTTTTCATGTTCAAGGAGCTTCGCATTTGCTGCACCACTGATCGGAGAAGTCTAATTTACAATCCGTTAATGATACCTCAGGCTCACTAGTCAAGGGTCGGTCAGAAGGGAAATCTTCTGCGCGTCGGCAACTTTCACGTAGAATGCTAAATTAACATCTGACATAATTGCAATATCGACTCATCTTCCGTGAATCGTCCAGTGACGGCAATGCAGATGTGTAGCGCCGCACGCCCATTGACTCAATAGCATGTTATGTAAATCATAGCCGTATCAGCCCTGTCCCTTGTTCGCCTTCCGAAGCGAAACCCGACTGGTGATACTGTTGCTGTTCCTCCGCTCAACTTGTGCCCTCCTCGGTTATTTTACCCAGATGAAATTATCATCGCTTTTCCGCACTCTGAACTAGTCCAGCATTTTGACGCTACGACACGACAGCGAGCGATCCCCAACATTCCTCTGGTAGTATTTCAATCATGAAGTCGAACTAATGTTCGAGATGCATGACGAACAGAGTAATGTGTTCTGTAATGCTTTGAGCTCCTATAAATCACTAGCGCTGACAAGGATTTCGTTGACTACTGTCCTCATTCGCGTCAGTCAGACAACCAGAATAAGAAGCCCTCGATAACTTCGTCAGTTAACTCTTATATTTTTATAAACAACGAGAGCAAGGATCCGCAGTGTTGCATTTTTAAAATCGAATCTTCCGAGCCGCCGGTGAATCATCCGCTTCGACTTTCCGTTTCGCCCCCTGCAATTTCTTGAACTTGGACGGCAGTGGCAGATCTGACGGGTCACTCGGATTGGGCTTGTTCGAGAAGTAATCCATTTTCAGAGCTTCGGTGCAAGTACATCTGTATGGGAAGCAAACAGTGAGAGGGAATTCCAGAAGCGCTACCCGAGGAACTCGAGTCTGTGGGGAGAAAAAATCGAATTGCGTGGAGGAGCAAATATGGATCAACCTATTGAGAGGGTCCATAGCAAGGAGCTTCCTCAAGAGCTCCAGGAGATCGTCTCCAGCAGCAGTGAAGATCTCCTCGAATTGTGTGCCTGGGAAGCCCTGTATCGGACACGAAAAAAAATCCGTCAAACCCGAGGATGATGCAGAAAGCGTCGATTCCCTCTGATTATCGTTTTCCCGGAGAAACGTCGGTTTCCGGCGTACCTTAAACTCCACATAGTCTGGCAGCTTAGTCACACCTGGCCAAGTTTCTTCGGTCGGAGTTCCCATGCATTGGAAAATTTTCGAGATCTGGTCCAGGTCGGTTTCCCCGGGTAAAAAGGGCAGCCTGGATTAGAGACCGGGGTTAGACCGGGGTTAGACCTCGAGCTGGAAAACTCTCGCTGAGGATCGATTTCCTCAGGCGGACACGAGGATCCGGAGGTTTTCTTACCTTAGGAGCAGCTCGGCGAGTATGCATCCTACCGCCCACATATCGACTCCTGTGCCATATATCCGAGCGCCGAAGAGCAGCTCGGGAGCTCTGTACCATCGTGTGACGACCTACGAGAAGTTTTTTCTTATCATGTCGCGACCTCAGAGAAATCGGAGAATTGTGCCTCGTACCACTGAGATGATCGATTGGTATCTCTCAGATCTGAAATCATAAACTGCGAAGTGACTCTCACTTGATGCGTGTAGACTCTGGGCGAGCCGAAAAATTTCGCCAGGCCGAAATCACCGATTTTCAGAATCCCATTTTCGTCGATGAGTAAATTGTTCGGTTTGAGATCTCGATGGAGAACCCAATTCAGATGCAGGTACTCAAGACCTTTGAGACACTGCAGGGTGTAGCATTTGACGTGGGCTGGGTACAGAATCACACGGGTGTCCTTCAATCAAAGGAGATCATTGTGAGCTTGAGCCCTTTCTAATTCAGATTCCTGAGTTTTTGCCGTAATCTCCGCTCACCTTTATTAGGGTCTCGAGATCTGTGATCATGTAATCGAACACGAGGGAGATATCGCTCTGATGGCCGAAAACGTCAAGTAGACCCAGAACGTTCTCGTGGTGGAGCTCCTGCATGAGCTTAATTTCTCTGAAAGATGGGATGAGAGCGGGATCAGAATCAGCTGCCAGGCGAATAAAGTGATTTTTGAAGAAGATTTGCTGGGGATGTATCGGAGATTGTTCCCCGCGGCTCAACCGGAACACCAGAATCGGCCGGTTTTCGCGCTTCCTAATGAGCTGAGAGTCCAGCGATTCACCCCAGCCTGGAGCTTGCGATTTACTCGGAAGCTGACAATTCACGTCATGAGATGCTGGGGAGACTCAAGACCACCTCAACCGCGAACGTACCTTAGCGCGGTTCGGTTGATTCCATCGCGGGCCTCGGCTCTGGGGGAAATTATGAATATTACCAAAAATTCACGATCAGATATTATTATTTCAGACACGCATTTTTTTGATACTCTCTTACCTCGAGCCGATTTTTATTTTCTTCACGGCGACTATCTGATCTGTTTGGGAATCTCTGGCTTTGAATACTGTAGCAAATTGACCTTCTCCTAAGAATTCGATCTTTTGGTAGCGGCTCTGTGACGATTGGTCACCGTCCATCTGAAAATGATTCGTTAGAGGAGGAAAGATTTCAGCGGAGGACAGGGGACAATGCCTTGGGCCTGACAGCAATCGTGAATCTCTCGCCCTAGACCAAATGAGGGAGGAGACACCTGCTCTGACATCTCGGAGATATACTGTGAGATTTTCGAATGCCGCGCTTACCTTGGACGTCTGTTTACAACTTAGCTTTCAGCTGGTCGATCAAGATTCAAGATGGCGGCCCGCGGACTTCTCTTGGAGGGAGAGCAGACAGTGCGGACGAGCGCGCAACTTGAAACTTTCCGGTACAGCAGTTGTCGCGGCGGGCGGTGCTCGGACGCATTACGTCTTCTCGTATCAGAGACTACTCAGAAGATGAAACAGACGCCTAGAGAGGCCGCACCAATGCCCACTGCCATCGATCTCCTGAGTGGGGGTCAGGAGCATGAATGATGCGACCATGGTATCTCTGAGGTTCGCCTGATGAATCCACATCGGTAAGACGTTCGAGAACGCGAGAGACCGAGATGAACAACCGAGTTCCGAAAATCCGTAGACACACTCTGTACTCTATGTGATCCCGTCCTCGATATCTGCGCTTTATCAGAAGTCATCCGCTGACTGGAGCTCAGCCTGAAGCCTGAGGATTCAACGGGGACGGTCTTCCAGGCTGTACGGGATTGTGATGATTGTAGCTCGTTAGTTTCGGGAGTCGCTGTTTGCGAGGGAGGCATGATTGCTTAATCTCAAACCGTCTAGCGGTCGAACAATAATCGGGCGACTCCCTCTTGGCCGCATTCCAGCATTCGGGATGAGACGATTCTCTCTGAGTTCAGACGTTCGCCTACGTAGGCTACCGGGCCGACAGGACAGGGAAGCTCTGCAATCCACATACGGATGTGTCCTGTCCGAAAAATCCTGCGAGCTGTAAGCATCGAGTCGATCGTGTTAGCCATGGAATGATAGTCTCCGACTTCGAGTCCTTCAACTTCGGAGTGCTGAGAAACCCCTCAGCGTGGCGGCGGGATGCTACACACAAATCGGAGTGGTGCTTTCCTGAACAATACGGCGGCGGAGCTATCCCACGACTGCCGAATAGCGACGATGAAGATGGATTCGGATCGATCCTGGTTCTGGAATCTCATGCATACAAGTTGGCCATACGGAAACTCTGACGTTTGGAAAGACATCAGAATCGCAACCCCGTTCCTGTGTTCAGCCACACGAACAGAGCGCTCATACCTAGACCCTTACGTTTTCGCTGTCTCGTTGCGATCTGCCCCCTCGTAATTTCACGTGGTCGAGGTTTGACGAGGGAATACTGATCGCTCGCTGTTTCAGGAGAGCGTCCTTTAAGGTAGTTCTCGCGCACCCTGTGGGCTATGATCGATCCCAGACCGATGATTCCAGATAACGTTTCCATCGAAATTCTCAGCAGGGGAATCATCGTGAGGGCACAGTAGACGGTCTGGTATCGGAGGGTCTAGCGAGCGGATTAGGCACGCGTCTCTCTTGGATCCCAAGGCTTCCCTCGATAGTAGATATCCGAATCGTTGGAATTCACTCGAGAATACTTGATGTGTTCTGCCCCTCTTCACTCGTGTCGATGTAAGTGGCTCTTTTCCAGTTCTCTTGAATTGGCGTGAGTCTGGTCGTTCCAATAGCCACGCTCACGACCGAAGCACCCCGCCCCGAGCAGGCACTCGGGGCGTTCAGCGGCAGCAGCGGAAAAATTGGAATCATCTGCAGAATGTTGATTTTGTCTGGTATCCATCCTCAGTTTTTCTCAACAACTTCCTCTCATGTTCAACCCAGAGCACCCGTTCTTGTACTGTTTTTTAATGTTTCATGTTCTGCGCTAACTGTTGGTGCTGCGAGTTTTTCCCTCTTTCCCGGATCGCTGTTGCGTCTAAGCGGACGGAATCGTTGCCCGAGTCCAAGATGAGTTCCGATCGGTTAGTTCGCGTGTTTCGCTCTGTTCTCATTCCCGATTTCACTTGAACTGCACCCAGATCGAATCCTTGTTGGCGAAAACTGCTACGAGAGACCGGAGATAGCCATTTTCGGTCGGAACCTGCTCAGAGAGACCGGAGATAGCCATTTTCGGTCGGAACCTGCTCAGAGAGACCGGAGATAGCCATTTTCGGTCGGAACCTGCTCAGAGAGTTCCGATGCCGCACAAACCTAATGTGAGCGAGATATATTACGTTCCAGGTAGACCCATGGTCTGTCTCGGCATGGGATTTGACTGATTTGAAATTTCCCGAGACCAACCATGAGTTCTTTCATGCTTCCCACAAATCTAAAAAACCATGGTGCCGGATGATCATAATGGAGATAAAAGTCTGTCCTCGGGGAATCCAATCTTTGGTGCCGCTGTATTCGCAAAAAATCTCCCTGTCGCAGGATTCCCGGAAGCTACCTTCAAAGTGTATGTGGGAAATCTCCTCAATCGGAGCTCGTCCTCCGCTCTAGACCCTGCGTGCGACGTTTCCGCGAAGACATTGGGACCGGGCGGGAAGACGTTGTCAAAAGCGTCCAATCGATAGGTACTCTACTTTGTATTTGAAGTATGGCAGGCGGTGTTTGTGGTGTGGCAATGATAGCCGTCGAGATGATGACCCACATCGTTGAAAGTCGTCGCCGCCAAGAGAGAGTCGAGAATTTATCGCAAATTAAGAACGTCCGAAAGAGTAACCCAGTTTTTCGAGCCGCATTGTTTTCCCCAGATCGCTCGCGCGCGCGCGCGCAGCTTTCCTCGCACGCTAAGATTCGACGAATGAACCTCTCCGGCTATTGTGTTCCGAGGATCATGTGTCGATGTTTAAGTGGTCGACCGCTGCTGGATAGCTATGCTGCTACACAGAAGCGGTCACTGCCTTCACCGATGCTCGGAAAAAAATGGTTTTCGTTGTTCCTCTCTATGAGGGCTTTCCTTCGGCTGCTGCTTCAACTTCCTGTGGCCGGCCGGTAGGCTGGTTGGTTGGTTGGTCAATCAACCAGACTGAGCGTTTGAAACAGTTAGTATCAACACAAATATGGGGCATGAGCTCATTTGCATGCGATGCAACGATGTTTACATCCTGACCGTTCCGACTCACTTGCTCAGCCCAAGTTTCTTGACCTCCGTGATCAGTGTTGAAATTCGATTTGTTTCCCCGATCGTCTCCACTCGAGCAGGCTGGTGACTCGAAACAGTTTCAGACTTAAGAAGCAGCGTTTCGACACAAACGAGATAAATAATCTGGGAAGATATCCATAAAAGTTGCGAGCAGCTTCAAAAGAACAATGCTTGCGTCGAGTTTCGTTACGATTGACGAGATGTCTCGATCCGATATGCTTATAATCAAAAAGGAACAAAACGCTCTTAAAAATAATTCAGCTTTATTCGTCAATAATTTATGAACTGTAGAAAATCGGAAGAAACTATTGCGCACTCGTCACGCACGGTTAAACTTAACTCACCGTCGTCTGTGATGCGTTCTCATTTTTAAATATACATTACATCAGTGATTGTGATAATGGAACAGTTCTTGAAGATGAATGTTATGGGTCGTTCTATCAGCAACGTTTTCGTCTTGCTTCGCCAGCGTAGAACGAGGAGCAACTCAACCCGTGACAGTGACGACCGGCTCATGATATATATTTACAACAAAACATAATAAAATAAAACTGACCTTGCTGGCATTCAAAACATCGACTCCTAGTGCAAGATTCGATAACTTATTACCACAATAACTTGAACGAGAGCATTCTTTGTCCATTGACAATCAAATTTTAACTTGAAGCGGCTTTCTTGATGGAGCTCAACGGAAGCTCGGAATTAATCGTCGCTTCACTTCTGTAGCGATTCCTCGCGGACAACAAACTCAGCATGAAGCCGAGGATCAGAAATTCAACGTTGGAACAAAACTTCAGACAGAATCATCCCACAAACAACTGACTGATGCCGCCGACTGTTCGACGCCATTTCCGCGACCAAAGCTACTAGCATCGCTCGTTGCCAACACGGCTAGATTACAGAGGTTCCCAGATTCAAGAATGAAAAGATTCATCTATCGGCTCTGATTCATGCGAGGCCCAGTCGGATGGAAACATGCTGGGTTGTTCGTTGTATTCTCTCTCGGGTCGCTTCGAGCGGAGAACCTTCACTAATCATTCCCTCGAGCCGGAGCCGCAGCGCTCACTTTAAGTTTGGATTTAGTATTTTACAGAAAAGCGGGGGAATGCGATAGGTTTGGATCCTCTGTTCCTACCATCCTCCATAACTTCCTCCATAACTTCCTCCGTAACTCCCACCGAAACTTGAACCGAAGCTACCGCTGAAACCTCCACCGTATCCACCGTGACCGTGTCCCTCATACTTGTGTTTCTTGATGTAGACGGGCACTGACACTTCCACAGGTTTCTTGACGATGATCTCTTTGAAGACGGGAACTTTCACCGGCACAGTCACAGGCTGCGGAATGTGGATTATCTTGTGGATCGGCACGGGGATATACTTGGGAACCTGGAATCAAAACTTCGTCAGAACTGGGGCGGGTGACTCGGATAGAACCTCGAATTTCAGTGATTTCAGGACTCATTCCCCTCTGACAATATTCAGCCTAAATTGAGGATGATGGCCGGCCAACGGCAACCCCGCTTTTGTGGAATTTCGCGAATATTGATCCGAAACGAAACGATGGATCCGAGTGAGGCGGATGCCCGAGAACGGGATGCGGAGCGCGCGGTCGCTCATCGCTCCCGTGAGCGTCCCAAAGTGAATCAAGCGTTTGCGATACAATTTCGGCAAGAAGCGGAGCGTTGGATCGTGTGGGCGTTTTCCACGGAATTCTCACATACGACAAACAATTGTTGTCCTCCCAATGCAAATTGCTGCGGTCGTCCAGATGATAGGCGCCTTGTCTTCCTGGTGCGTGAAACACACTCTCACGTGAATTCACACTCGTTTCAAGAGGCAAAGGTGGGAGTCGACTTCATACGCGTGATCTGTGTAGTACGACAACCCTAGCGAGCAACTAAAGAGCGGGTAGGGAGACCCGCGATGGTCAGTGAGGCAGGCAACCGAAACGGCGGTCGGAGGGACAATTCTGAATTGCGATGGTTACCTCTGAAACAAATAGATTCGAAAACATGGGCCATTCCGAACGATCAGCGTTCCGACTCAAGACGGAGCCGGTAATGAGATTCGCTCCAACAAGCGAGGTAAAACTCACATCCGATCGCTGCGATGGACCAACACCATCAAAATCACAGCCCTTCCAAGACGGAAGCCTCGATGCTTGCATTTTCCTGTTTGCTCATTTGCTAGCCAGCCTGTTTGCCTCCCTGTCCATCTGAGCAAGTATTGGCGGCCAATAGTCCGTGTTGCTACGGCTCTGGATCGCTTCTTGACTCCCGATGTTTCCCAAAGTCTAGGCATCCGGTTTCTCAATTCGAGGGATAGCTCATGAGAAATTGTCACGGGTGGACAAACGGGACCTCGATGGAATCCGCGATTTAGCGAGAAATCAAGCCGCATCGGCCACCAGGGGCATTTGAAGCAGTCCACGGTGGGTCCCTGGGAGCTGTCCCCAAGCAGGGTTCGTGATGACAGGGGATCTCTGTCGGCGCACCGCAAGTATCCGATGTGGACGCCATCGCTCGTCGGTTTTCTGCAGGATCTATCGGAGCGATTGTGCGCTTGACAGCCCGACGCGTCTCGACGACAGCTCGACGGTCTGAGTCGCTTGTCCAAGCGTTGCGAAAAACAACCGCAATACACTGGCGACGTCCGAACTACCCTAATAACACGATGCCACCCGCTCACGTATTCCTATCCGTTAGTTTTTTGTTGTCCGAGCTCTCTCTCTCTAGATAAACCCGCCGGACCGGTCGTGAATTCCCCGCTTGAGGCGAGTGCGCAGCCACCCGTTAGAACGGTCTTTTTTCGTCGGACTCAAAAACATCGCCTCCGAAGCGTACAATTGCGCTTGCGTAACATTTTGAACATCTGAAGAGCATCGGAAACGATTCGAGATTACAAGCCCTGCGTCCGACTGATTCGAGGGCTCGGTTTTGTCGGTGTTCCTACTTCGTGAATGCTATATAATTCAGAATTTGTATGCGATCCGCTTGAGAAACCTATCGACGAATCCCCGCACACCGTCACTGCTCTGAGCCGACAGGAGTCGGACGAAAACTGACCGCAAGCTCGGCGGGATCCGAACGGAATCGCCTGAAGGTCTCTCCGAATCGTCCTTTGTCGGTCACTCTCGTCGTAGGTCCTTCTGAAGTCGCCGAGCCAATGCGCGGACTGAGCAATATTTCGATATTCGAATGATTCGGGTGATTCGTTGCTGGAGATTTGGATTTTGCCGGTTGCGTCTATCAATTAGCGTCACATCATGCGATAAGAGCGTCAAAGGCCGAAACTGCCGCCGGTGATGTCAAATCAGCTCGAAGACATGGACAGCTGCACCTAATCGTCGTCGCTCCGACGCTTTGAGGAGCTTTGACTAATGATGAGCAATAACTGAGAGGTGAAATTCCAGAATGCTCGCTTTGTGATGCAGAAAATTTCAATTAAGACGCTCAGGGAGATGCCCGCTTGCATAGCTTCGAATACTGTCGACTTCGTCCCGTCAACAGTCGAATCGGCTTGTTGTCTCGACTCCGTTCCGTGATTTGCCACTTCTGTTATTCTTCCCGCAGATGTGTATCTTTCTCTCTCTTCTCACCTCTTTTTTATTTTTATCTCACAGTTCTTTTTGAGCTTTCCACCGGTAGTTGACGCCTGCCACGAACAATTTTCAACTTCATGAGCTTCGCAACAACGGGCAGAAAAAGAAAGCGCGGAACCCTTCCGCGAAGATAAGCGGAGCAAAGAAACAGAAGTATCAAAACAGCCGTCCTCATTCAGAAAAAGCGTCTCTTGTATGTGTACTGCGTTTTTCGCCAGACCTCCGACGCCGCGTGTCGCACGACCGACGCAGAGCCCTCCGCGTTTGACGGAATCGCTGTCACCGTGATCATCTCGCAGATAGATAGATTGAGAATAGATACGCGTGAAGCACCCGAAACAGGGAGATAAGTTGTAAACCGTAAACTTGCCTTAGGGTGTTCTATGCAGAAAATGAAAGCGCAGAGCAGAAGTGATGGAGATGAAAGTGATCTCGGATGAACACGTTTCACCTACCGATGTTGGTGGTATGGCAAGCCCTCCCCTCAGCTGCATTAGTCTGAAGTCTTTGTGCAATTACCGCTGGAAACGCTGAACTGCGCTGGCACAGTTTTTCTCCGACGTTCCTAATTGGACCGGACCAATTTACTCGAGATTTTCGCGTTTCCGCACGAGAATTCGAAAAATGATCAACTTCTCTCGTGAACGACTTGTGAGCTAGCAGTCAGCGATTGGTAAGTCGATTGAATGCGGCTTCTGGCGGTCACACGGCTAGGCAAAGCTCAGAATCTCGAAGATTCCGACCACAAAATCGGCCTCTTAATCAAGGGAGTCCGAATCCGACGTGGTGAACCACCGCTGGGGCGATTAAAAATAGATATGTGATAGTACTTCGTCATGAATAGCTCTTCGAGTCGGAGCGGCGCGGCGACGGGCTCGTTTGATTCGGCCGTCAAGCAAAACTCACCGGTCAATTGTGCCTGTCAAGATGATTTCTTTCGGCACTCGATGAAATTGTTCATGATTCCATATTCCGTCCATCATGATCGGCGGTTTTGTTCGTGGAAAACGCCGCAAACATTTGCTTCGGATTTCGGTTTTCCGTTTTTCCCCTTCTTGTGGCCCTGTCGCATTGCACAATCGAACCAAACCGAGTTCCCAGGAAGGAACGGAGAAAAAATTTCTTCCCCCGAAAGAAGAACTGTACCGGAACTTCAAAACTGAAACGGGCGGGGGAACACGATATCTCCGGAGCCACTGTCCGCCACCGCCGCTGCCGCTCATGAAGAAATGACGACCATCAGCGCCCGAAAGAAGAAGCAGCAGAAACTAAAAATGGGTCCCGAATTGCATCAGGGGCTTTCGGGTGGAGCACGGAAAGCGCTCATCTCCCCTCCGAAATTTTGCCCCAAAACGCCGAAAAGGATAGGAACGAGAAAGAAATGAGAAAATTGACTCGGACTCAGCGAGTTGCCGCGCAACGAGCCAAATGGTGGTCCGTCTAGATAGACGATTCTTTCGGTCGGATCGGCCGATCCGGCTTTCTCCAACATTAAACCCCACGGAGGCAGTCGGTTGAGATTCACGGCAAATCTGATGATTTTCGTGTTGTAAGTTTTGATGGAAATTCGAGCGACGTCGATCGCGACGACGACAACGGAGCTCTTAGGGATGCGTCATCTTCCGTCGGAGTTGTGTCCCCCGCGGACAAAACTTTCCCGTCATTCATTAGTTCATTATTATGCTTCCTTCGACCGGCCGAGCCGTGGATCGCCGCTCTGAACGCCATTTTGATTTCATATCGGGATTCTGATCCGGACGCGAAGCTTTGTACCTCATCGGACGACGAGAGGGAAACGCACTGCTCGCCGTAGCTGCCGCCGTCGCTAGACAACGGTTACGGCCTCAGCTCCGAACTCTTCCGGAAGAAGTCCGGGGCCTTTCCATTTCGCCGAATCAGCGTATCGGAAAGCTTCAATGTTTCGTTCATTATAAGAAAACTAAAGAGCAGAATAAACGGTCGTGCGATGCTTCGGTCAACACACCGAGGCGGCCACATGGCACCCGCGTCGCGTGATCGAAGCGAGCGAAGGCCTGATAGGAGCGAGGAGAGGTAGAACTTCAGAAAGTGTTCGAACCACTCTGAATTTCGCCTCCCACAGACAGCGTTGTTCGCTTAACCGCACTATCTCGAAACGCACGATTTGCTCAGCGTTCCCCGTGTTTCTTCAAGTCCGGCCGGCAGACAGGCAGGCAGGCAGGCCGGCCGGCGGGCACGCGGGCGGCAAGTGGACGAGCGGGCGAATCGACTACTTAAATCACGCCAGCCAGACTGGCTGCTCGGTTAGCCGTCGATCAGCGGCTCAGCGCTCAGTCGGATGGTAAGGAAAATGTGTGAATCACTGTTCCGGTCTGGCTCTAACTCGCACCGAGTTCAAGATTCTCGTGCCCATCTTATCGTCAGTCGCCTGATAAAAGCTACCGATCTGGATGAATTACATCAGAGATGAAACGACGAGGCTACGCTTCACAGTCTAACGGACATTCCATCTGGTCAACTGATGCTCGCGCCTCACGGAAGATGCCGAGCGGCCATACGATGTTGCTTAATAAACAGTGATTGCCCCAACAAAGAATCGCCGACGAGGTGTTAATCTTGGTCAAGAGAGAAGCGACCGATTTTTCTTCCCGTTGATTCGTCGAATAAGTGATCGCAGCTTCGAAGTCAATTCAATTGGCACCGTTGAAAATTTTACGATCGTGGTGCCGTCATCCGCCGGCCGAAGGAGGAGCTGGAAGCCCTTCCGAGCCGAGGAGCTTCTCCGAATTCACTGGTTAAAGGACATAATAAGGAAAATTTTTCCCCGATTGGGGATCATCCCGACTCATCAGAATCCAAGTTTTTCCAACGAAATTCTGCTCTCTTTCGGGCCTATTCGGTCTCACGCCGGGCAATCGTCAGAAAAAAATTATACTCTCCCCAGATTTTCCACGGAAGGTGCGACTACGGGCATTTTCTCGATTCGGGATCCCGCATCATAGGTGTTGGCGAAGGCTCTCAAATTCTCATTGCCAGACAATTTTTTCACTGACCGACCGAAGACCGCCGCCCATCTTGCTCACTGCCGAGCAAACGGGAATGCAAAGAGCTGGAAGTCTGTCGAAATCCCCAAGTGGAGGTTACTTTCCGGTTGTTTGAGAAATTGGTGCTGTTGTTCGGCTAAGCGAACTGTTTTACACGCGAAGATCAGCGATGCTCGCGTCGGACGCGTTCGGCCCGCACGTCTCACTTGTCATCGCGAACGCCGCCGCTAATACGCTCGAACAACGACCGGTGTTGAGACCGGTCGATACCTATTCCTACTGTTTGCTTCGAGCGCCAGCGAACGTCGCAATAGGTTTCGAATGAGCTCTGAACGTGAATATTTATTGTTCCCCGTGTCGCTCACAAACACGACGTCGAACAGGAGAACGCTCGTAATGATGATGGAGTCAGACTACGCGAGTGAAGGGAGGGGCCCAACTGGTCACCGCCGCCGGTCGCCCCCATCCAACGTGATCATCTTCTTCTTCCAGTGCGTTTTTTTCTTCACCCCAGAAACACAATGAAGGCAACAGGAAACGTTTAGTGATAAAAACAGAGGTGCACACAAGCGCTCGGACAACATTGAATTCCTGTTTCATATTTCTCAGAACCGATCCGTGCAGCCGATTTTTTTTCCACTGTCCGAAACAGGCCTCCAAACGCAAACAATTGCCTCCTTCAACACAAGCAACGACTACTGATTCGATGCTTGGGTGTCAGATCTGGGTCTACGGGTGGCGGAGCCGCGAATCGATGGGCGCCGCGCCGTCATACTGGCAGGGGGGAAATCTCCGATGCGATCACTCTATAGTTCTGTCTTGGAACCTACGATCGCTTCTGGAGGAACGATCGCTAGCCCTGGACGAACTGGTTGCAGGTATCGACGACTTACCTTGACGGGTACAGGGATGTGTTTCGTCACGGGAACCGGCACGTGCTTGTATATTGGGACTGGAACATGTTTGTAAACGGGAACATGAACGGGCACGGGCACATGATGCGGGACCGGGTAGGGTTTCGGGATGTGGATAACCTACAAAACAGGCGTTTTAGAATGCGCGGACAAAGTCGAGCTCGTGGGCAAGATACACACCAAAGCGGGAACTCGATCCTAAAATTTAATTAAACTTGGGTTGGAAAAGGCGACAGATTTGCGGTACGCTACCGCTCGAAATTTACAATAATGAGCTAGGTTCCATTGTATCCGAGCTCCCGGCGACTGAGCTGCGGCCGATGCTTCTCCCGGACTCATTCCACTTTCGGTAGCGGGCGGAAGATATGCGGGCGCTTAATAGAACTCTGAATTTTTCTCCGGAATTACATTCCCCGACGGCGGCGGGCGATCCAAAAACTTCAGTTCATCCTCAGTCCAGGCCGGGTTGTCGTCTTCGGATTCACTATACTTTGTCGTCCGACTCGGACGACGGTATCCAGGCGGAAAATAGGGACGAACGTGTTGACAATTGAAAGTTCCGAAGCTTTCCAACGAATCGAGCGGACGGTCTCGAAAAGCGGCCGCAGCGATGATGGGCTTTCGAACGGGCAGAAAACGATAAATCACCACTATGCCTCACTTGATTGAAGCTTGATTCGATCAACAATATCGTCGAGAAATTCCTTCACTTCAGCCAATATGTCGTTTTATTTGCTCACGGACAATCGAAATTTGTCTTCCGGCCGACTTTGCTTCGTAGTCGGATGTCAATCACCACCGCGGTCTTCAACACCTCATCGGCTCAGAGTCCCATCGGACGATCGCCCTCGTTGTCGTCGCCATCGCCACCCGCCCGCCGCATCAATCGGTGCAGCTTGTGTCAAAAAAAATCACCACAACGAGAGCCAAGCCCAGCAGCGTCTGCCACAATCGCGGTAGACAGTTCTGGTTCTCTTACATCGAATGCGCATATCTCAGACTTTGTATTCGCCTCGATTTCATGATGGCGGGCCCTCCGCTTCCTTTTCTCCAGAGAAATCAGAAAAGTGAAGCGCTCCTCGGATTAAACGAGGCGAAACGCGCGAGTCCGCTTGCGGACTATCAGCTGTGTAGTGGTTGGCGGTTAAGTATTCGGGATTTGTGGATTAGGGGGCATTTTTCCTCGGAGCAGTGGAGGGACTGACGGATTCGACGTTCCTCCACGCTTCCGCCGATTCGGAGCCCGGCATTCTGGCCCGCCTTTCCGGGAAAAATGCTCTCGAGCCGCTGAAGAGCGAAACACTTTCAGTAGAATTGGCGGATATCGAAGCAGAACTGAACAGGCAGCGGCATCTCATTCAGGAAGCCAGAAACCGTTGGCTGAGAATTAGCTGACCAAGACGAGCCCAGATGAATATTTTTCCCGGCGATTGTGTTCTCGGTTTCAGTTGAGCCCGCACAAGAAAACCACCGGCAACCGAGCAACCTATCGATCACCCAGCGACCCACCGACAGGCGGGCAGCCGGACGGGCAGTGCCGGAGCTGCCACGAACGTGGACAGAAATATGAAAGACTGAGGTGGTAAAGTGAAGCACACGATGCGGTCCAGTGTCCCACATCCTCCGGTCGCGATAAAACACCAGCTAAGAAGCGTCAATGTGTATAGTTGCCAATCGTCCGTCAACGGTACGCCGCGCCGGCCGCCGACATCTCCAGGCACCTTTCACTCTTCCTCGAGTGCTGGCCGCCGTTTGTTTTCTGTGAGACATTTGTCGGACCGTTCGATCCGTCAAGCGTTCCGTCTATAACATACGATATATGACCGAGCGTCGTTCCCAACGTAAGCGGTGCAGCGCCGCCGCCGTCTTTGCCGCTCTTAATATCGGCTTTCTGTTGATATCTTGTTCCGTGGAAACTGGATTCCCCGTGGGAAAACTTTCATATGGGATAATCAAGGTGGGCTTTTGCGAATCAGAATCAGCATTCCGGTCGGGGAGAACCTCCAAAAAAAGGAAAAGCAGAAACCGCACTGTGCTCATGGAAGTGTAGGGGGTGGGAAGTAACAGCCAGATTCTCTGTGCCGCTTCCGAATTCAGCTGATCACTGGTCCGCACATTCGATCCATCGAGACTGAGGAGGCGGAACTTTTCGACAGTGTCTGCTTTCGCATTAAATACCTCGTGTCACGCTCGATCGCGCATCTATCCTCCATCCCCTTACCTTGGGAACATGAACGATCTTCGGGATCTTCTTCACTACCGGTACCCTGTACGGCACTGGCACCGGATGCGGTACTTTAATCACGTGGGGTATGTGTATGATCTTGTGAACTGGGTAGGGCTTCGGAATCGGTACTGGATGAGGTACCGGAACGATCTTGTGCACAATCTTCACAACCTCCGGCTCATAATGATGTCCTCCGAGAGCCACGGAGCACAGAACGACAAAGAGGAGGACTCGAAATAACATTTTACTCGCTATTGTGTCGGACGTGCGCTGACTCGAGCACCAGGGCACCATGTAACTACGCTGGGGCCGATGGCGCACTGGTTTTAACTAGGGAAGCGCAACTCCGGCTCCTCTCCCGCCGGGCCGAACGTCTGGGGCGTCCGCTGGCTTCGCGAGGGCAAGCAAGCCGTATCGGGCTTCGAGTCTCTCGCACTCAGCACAAAAAAAGCTTCAGCTTCGGTCGGAAGTATCGAAATCGGATAAATTATCGAAATCTTAACAATCAAATAATCGGGAGCTCGGAACATCAGACGTAGTCAGGAAATTCGAAATTTAAGTGTTTTTTATTTTACTCCGAAACGGAACTTTCGTTCGGATCCCAGATCACAGTTGAGTCGCTCGACGAGAAGGGCAGCATGTAAGCTGTCGAAGGCAATCGCGAATATTAATGAAAAATACTCCATCGTCTCTAAGAGGTGATACGGTATTTTTGGCGTTTCAGACGCTTGAGAGCGTCGACCACAAACATTTTCGAGATGTTTTCCCGGAGAGCCCCATCATGACGAGAACTGGAGCTCGACGATTGCTCCGTAGATCTATCGCCGTCTTTTCTCAATCTGAGGATTGAGGTGAGGAGATCAGCGTTTTTTAAAAGGCCTAATGATGGTCTCGGAACTCGAGACTCAGAGTGCTTCTTCAGCTGGCCCCGAGGAGGAAAGGTCGATACGAGATTATTCGATGATGCGGGTTTCCACTGATTTCGATGGATAGCCATGGTCGTCATTGACAGATCAGAGCCATTCGCCTCAGCAACCCCAGCGCTGCCTTCAACGAAAATCCTTAGGGAGGAGCTCGCGTGCGATCTTTTGGTCGGGTCCCTGCGAGGTAGCTCGTTACGCTAAGCATCCCAAGGTTCGAATATCATTCGGTGGCCGATCGCTTCGTCACTCATCTTGATCGAAGATCAATTATTGCCTCATCATTTCATTCCCATCATGGAATAATGCTCAACTCATCTAGCCATCGAAAATCGCCGGCGTCCGTAACAAGGCGTCCGGGACGTACATTTCACTGTTATTCACTCATATATTCCCGCGAATCAGCTCCGTGGGCCACCGATTTTAGTACTGCATTTTTGGAAATAACGCAAATCCCCCAAGACGTCGGGGAACTCTCACCAGCGGGAACAGATCTGAGAACACCGCGTCCATTCAGTCACGCACACAAACGCCAGATCCGAACTGTAGGATCACTTTCCGAGTCAGCGACGGGTGACATTTATTTTGTGAGCTACGCTCCTCTTTTGGAAAAAATTATCCACGTGTGATAAGTGAAGACTTTCTCGGACCAAACGCCGCGTAACTCGAGCCCGGAGCCAAGCTAGAGTCGTATCGGACATATCCTCGGGCAGACGATCATCTAGTTATGTCAGCCGGCCTGAGCGAAATTTCGCCGTTGCAAAACACGGGGAAACGCTATCAAAACAAAAAAGAAGACGTGTTCATGAGAAGAAAGTTCAGTCGAGTGGATCGCGAAGTCGTAGTCGCACCCCACCTCGACGCGATCCGCCATCGTTTCGCATACGAAGAGCGTCAATCTGTGTTCGTGCACGAATCACTTGAGCTGCATCGGGAAAAACGATAGCGACTTGCGCCAACTTCAAGAATCAGCGCTTACGATGGATCTCTGCAAGCTCTTCTTTCCCGGGCTCGCCCATCGCATCGTGAGAGTATCCCCCCGACTCGGAGATATCCAGCAGAGCTGTGACCCGAGGCGTTGCCTCATGAAAGTCCATCGTCCTGAGTCGTTGCTTGAAAAGTTGAGGATCTCGTTGCCCTCGGACCAGACGATGCCGCTCGAACATCTTGACCGACTCGCTGTCAGACTTCGAATTCCCCGTTCGGGCCCAGTGTCGATTCCTTCACAGGAAGTGAAGTTCGCGATTCCCGGGAGCGATCCTGCCTCAGAATAAGTCGAGCGATACGAGTTACAAGCTTCGGAAGCGTGGGCCCGAATCACCGGAAACCCATCGAGGATGGCCCTTGTCATTTGACTCCCGGGAGCGTGAAGTCGTCACTGGTTATCCGCCGTCAAGGTCGTGTTTCGGAAGTCGAAATCCACCGACCTGCACTGAATGCCCCAATACGCCCCCGCGTACCAAACGAACCACTGACCCCAAGAAAGGATTGTGTAGAAGCCAGGGGGAAAATCCCAAGTACAAGAGCTCGACAAAGAAGAAAGGCTCCGACAATTTCTCGAGTGAAGCGCCATGTCGGTGTTGCAGTCACGATACCGGCGCTCCGGGAAGTATCGGCAGAGGGACTGAAATCTACCACAGCGTCGAGTTCTCCTCGAAATGCTCTCGAGGCCCGGACATTTTTCCCTACTGCCGCGACGAGTGTGTCGTGTCCTCCGAAAGCCTGCTAGAGGCGAGGGGGGGAGGGGGGGGTGATCGCATCCAGAATAGACGGAAGACTCCGAAGAAGTTTCCACGACATTGTCACATGAGCTGGAAGGTATTCCAGGATTGGCAGCTCCGAAGCTCTTCCCAGGTCTGGCGGATCTTTTTCGTGTTTTCCTCCTGCTCAATGTCGAGGTTCTCACACTCGCTTTTCCAGGATTTAGTTTCACTGCAGAGCTGCACCATCGCGCGAGATGGAGACCGTCGAGGAAAACCCTCTTCGAGCGCGGGGCACCAGGACTAGAGCAGAATTTGGATACCAGCCTGCTTTCGCGTAAACATGGGAGAGGCGATGCCTCTACGGACGAGAAACCTGGAAGCTCCAGCCCGATATTGACCACTCTATGGGAAGTCGGGCGTCGTCGGCGTTCAAGAGAGCTCACATCGAGTAAGTGCACTGAACCCTGATTTTCTGGTGGAGTCGTCGAGTCGAAGTTCCCAGCGATCCCGATCAGAAGCGATACCGGTCAAGTCCTTCTCCAGATCGAACAGTCCACCTGTTGGGTTCGGGATTGAGCCCGGAACGGATTTCCAATGAGGGTTCGCTCGTCGCTTGTAGAGGTATCTTCCGCGTCGATGCCGGAACGAGAGGGCGCTCTGAGTCAGATGAATCGAAAATGAGTCGAGAGCTCGGAGCATCGAATCGAAAACATCCCAACTATGAGATGAACTGTCTAGATTGATATCTCGAACAGATTGGCGCGATCCTGAACAGGTTACGACCCGGTAGCGGACGATTGGGCAAAAGTCAAGCGAGTCGGCACAGTCACTCGACGATAGCGAGCTGACAGTGATTGGAGCTGAACGTTGGTCTAGGTGATCGCTCACAAATATATTACTGAACTCTCGAGCCGTTAACTGTCGTACAGCAAGCCTCAATAACGAGCCAGTCAATCAGTCTATCCACATATCAGCTCTTCTGAACGGTGGATATTTCGCCGTAGTATAGAGATGACGGTGAAAAATATGTCGTCTCTCGAAGGACGGGCAAGATATTGAATGTCTGATGTCGGAATAAATCACGAACGCAAGCGGAATGGAATGTTCCCCGTTTCCCTGTGCTCGCCAACTCTCTCGAGCTCTCGAAGATCGAATGTCGTCAGACCACGTTCGTCTGGAGACACGGAAGCGACACGGAAACTCATTGCAGCTCCTGTCATGATTTCGAGGCATCATCCCGGGCCACAAATGAATCAATCCACGGGATAAACAAAATGAAATAAAAAGAGAGCCATGGAGCCGAATTCTCGGAGGAAGGAAAATCGTGTAACACTGTTTCGATCTTATGGAATTTCGCAGCTGATCTCCCTTTTGAAGTGTATTCAACGAAGCGTTCGAGAGGATCACCTGCCGATACCCGACGAGTTCGGCCTCGTCTCCAGCCTAATCTGGCCTAGATCTTCCATCTTCATCAATTTGGAAGCCGAATCATTGACAATGGAACGTATTGCCGATGATCATCCCGACCCGCGCATCCTTGACTTGAGAGTGTCCACTTTCGCCGCCGAGTGCGACCGCGAGTCTTGACTGTCCTTTCCGATGTAGGAACGATCCCCTTGCTCGAGTAAAACGCCACGACAGCGTACACAGCCTCGCTCCATTCGATGTAGTCATCTGCGGAACAGCGGGAGCGCAGCTGGATATCGCCGCCATGCGGAATGTTGCGACTGTTTGAACTCCTATCTTCGCTTTTCTCGCGAGTCAAGATCTCCCAAAAGCCGCAAGGTATGATCACGATTCGGACTCGAACAGCTATTCTGCTAGTGATCTTCAACACGGTGCTAGTCGTCATGACCATGGTGTGCATTTCCATGCACGTAATGGATAGAGCGTCGCCCGCATGGAAAGGAGGGCCGGGACTACCGAAAATGCACGTTCAATACGTCTCGCATCGTGCTCAGCGACGGAATAGACTTCTAATGAAAGAGGACATCAAGTGCAGCTATAACAACTCGATGACGCTGTTCATCTTGTCGGATGGAGTCAACTTCGAAAGACGCAACTCGATCCGGAAAGTGTATCGTGACATACGAACTGTACGGAATTTTTGCGTGAAATACTTGTTCGTCGTTTACGGTGATATTCAAAAAACCGAACGCCACCACAAGGACTACGTGTTGATATCCTCATATGTACAGGGCTACGTCGAGCCGCAGAAAATTCATTTCGCATACAAAAGTAAACCGAAAGCGGACCTAAAATTGAAGTCTGCCTTGGCGGCCCTGCAGGAGCCCACCAGCTCAGAGAGCTCAAGCGAAGAAACGACCGAGGATGTCTCGGAAGAGACGGAGGAGGAGACCATCGAGGAGGATGATACAAAGCGGAAAGATCCGGCAAAGGCCACGAGGCAGGCCGTGTTGCGCGGTCTGTCCGCAGGTCGGGACGTGCCGACTAAAAACAGGCGTCAGGTTACCGAGCCCTCCGCGACTGCAGCAACAACGACAGCGACGACGACGACGTTGGGAATGACAGCCTCAACCACAACTCGTGAGAACAGGAACAGATCTCAAACGATGCAGGACCTCCTGCAGGCTATCCAAACCCCCAGGGATGTCAGCTC